ACAATGCATATATGACGGTCTTTGACGCGAGCGTATTCATGACATGGGACAGTTCGTCTTGTAAATCTTCACTTAATAGCGACGTACCTGTGATGAGGTCGGAGCGAGAGGCCGGTGTAAAGCAACCGGTAGTTGGCCTTCACCGAAGTTCAGAGGCGTATGTAGCTCAGATCAATTCTACTTTCATACTACTTACCAAAGAAAAGTTGCTGTTTAAACCAAAGCTTTGGAGCTCTCTAGCAGTATAATTTAGCTACATAATTTGAAATAAAAGTTGCAAACATTTGCTACCAGTAAAAGAAACAGATGCTACCAGTAATTTGAAATAAAGGTTACAAACAATGCGTGTGACCTGCAGCAACATTAATTCGGGCGCGAATGGGTTAAGATAAGGCAGCGCAGCTTTCCCATTTGTATGTTTTCGTCTTCGACGCGAGCGCATGACTCCCGCTCCGACGAGACGAATTGGGATTCCGCTGGATTGCCCGAAGGGGGAGAGGGGGGCGCATGCGCGATGCGCGGCTCGTTTGACCTCGGTTGACCTCCGGCGCGCATCCGCAGCGCCCAGCTTCCGTGTTGAGAATAGCACACCGCCCGCCTGCGCCGAAACCCGGCCCCCGCCCCTCCCCTCGCCCTCCCTCCTTCTGCTCGCCTTCGCTCATTTAAATTGCGTTCTATGATGTCGAATCATTCCAGATACATGCGCAGGGTTCACGAGAGCTCCAGCCAAATTTGGTCAACAAAACGTATCTCAAAAAATGCAAACATATTTCAGCATACAATAAAATTTTCAATAAATTGATACAGAGATCAGTCAAGTTTGTTGTGAGTATCCGAGTTAAACAAAGGCAGCGCAAATGCAAAAAATGCAAAATATTGTAATGGACAAAAATTTTACAAATAAAATTTGCAAGAATCGAAAAATCCGTGCTCAATCACGTTTGTGGTTTTTTATTATTTTTTTATGATAATTTCAATTACTAAATTTAAAATTAAATATTTTGCAACTTTAATATGTTAAAGAAGTGGTAGATAATCATAAAATGTTACCGAAGTAACTGGTATGAAGATACATGTGCATTCGTCGATTCTCTTATGAATTAATAGGATTGATCTCGCTGATTAACATTGCACTGCGATTTAAACTGGAATTTATCTGCGTTAAGCCTGCTGCCGGATTAGTTAATGAAACGTTGATTTCCGGTTAGAAAAATTCGTCATCTCACGATCTTGCTGTTTATTTCCACGACTAGAGTCCGTGAGGGCAACCGTGGCCCAGCTGCAATCTGTTGCGAGAAAAAGTGACCTATCTACAATGCTAATACTCGTAGATGAGGGTTTACATAAGACGGCAAATAAGTCACTGTGCCCCTTGCTGTTACTTATAATAACTAGAATTCCAATATTTAATTTATAATTTCTCTCATTTTATATTTATAAAACAGAAACATACGAAACGAAATAAGCAAAATAATTATTTAATATGCATGATAAAAAATTAAAACTGATTTATGCATGTTGCACATTTTTTCAAAATTTAAGGTCGCATTTTAACAACAAAGATCAGCGAACACAATTAAGTAAACATCAATGGGTTACATTACAGATTGTATCACATGACAATTACTCCCCATGACTATTACATTAACATCAAATTTTATACTATATTATCTTAATTAGTTAACAGATTCTAGCACCGTCAATTCTTTAGCACACCCGTCTGCAGAGCTGAACAATTTATAAAAGTTTGCGTCTAATTTCATTAAGTTTCTTTCCTTAGCAATACCAGGGCATTCTAAGATAAGGTGTGTAGATATTGTTGCATCACATTTGCGGCATGGTTCTGGGTCGGAATTTGTGAGTATGTAGCTCTATTAAATTTTACACACAATTAGTAAATTACGATGGAGCAATTTAGCATTGCTGGTAGTAAATGCAGGAAAGAAACTTCACTGTGGGAAGTCTAGGGAACTATTAATCCTGATAATGCCTAGGATATTACTCAGTTACGCAGCGACGGTGAAAGTGGCTAGCATGCTATTTAATGTGATATAGAAAAATTGTCAAAGTCCAAAATGCAATAGTGGATCCTTACAGTAAAACGTCAGACCGTCTGTGAACAACACTAGCGCCTAAACTATTCGGAGAATTCTTTTCAAAATGATATTTCCCGATCGATTTCCAAAATATTTACGTCTCAAAACTGCGATTTCATTCTTTAAATTTTAGGAGTAATTTACATGAAATCCTTGAGACATTTTCAAAGTATTCTCAAAAAATGGCTTCAATATTTTTTCTTTAATTTTCTTTTAACTACACTTGTAAACATGGCTTAGGTCAGATTTTCAAAGTTAACTTTAAATTTGTGAAAATAATAATTTGAAATTTTCCGGCGTCTTCCTAGTACAATATTGCAGCGATTTTTGATTCCAATGTAATTTATTCTCCAAAATTATTTTATTTATGTCATGTACTTTTTTTTACAATTTAAATAGTTTTCGAGCAATTTCGATTGATATCTGAACAATATTAAAAAAATGTTAAAAACGAGATTTACTCAATAATTACTCCACATTTTTCCTTTATGCATTTGTTAGAGATAGTACTGTATATTCAGTACTAGGTGACATAAATGTAAATTTGCCGAATTCTTTTGTTTAAAAACCATGTGCCTTTTTACATCTCCCTCACGTCGTTCATATTTAGATTACCGGCAGTTTGTATACATCATTGAATTTGTGAGTACATACGCTTCAAATAATTTCTTAAGAAGGTTTTCGAAAACTCGTAAGTTTTCTGTGAAAATGAGCTTGAAATTCCGCATTGTCAGAATCTCTTAAAGCCATTTTCTCAAAACTGTTCCAATTTTTTTCTTTATTTTTAAAAATCTCTTTTTAATAATTAGCATTTACATTATGGGCATTCCTTATATATTATTTCATTTGTAAGTATAATCACTTCAAATTATTTGTCATAAAGTTCCTCGAAAACTAAAAAGATTTTTGTGAAAATAAGCTTCAAAATTTCAGAATAGCTCAAACGACATTTCTCAAAAACTACTCCAAATTTTTCAACGAAAATTTCCATACCATATTTTTTTTACATAACACACATTGTCATATCGCAATTTTACCATTAGAGGACCGAACAATTGAAAAAAAGAGCAGAAATGTTCTTTAAACGTGCTTTAAACGTTAATAAATGCTTCCTGAGAAGATGTTGGGACAAAACCGAAAAGATAAGTCGAAATAAAAAGCAGAGGAAACTAACTAGTATGAGAAAATCTGTGCCTTTTTGTGTCACCAGGAGTTATTTGTGTCAAGATTATGTATGCTGCACATTATAGATAAAATGTTAGGGTTTCAATTGTTCCATTGTTCGATAAAGCAAACAGTTTTTTCAAAGAGGTCTACACAAGAATAATGATGGAAAACCTGTTTTACAGAATACGTGTTGTGATATTCTAAATCCATTCTTCTTATCGCTAATATAGATTGCAGAAACTTTCTAAATAATACGTTGATGGTTCACCATGTATTATAATTGTGTCGCGCGTGTTCTTTCATCGAAGTCATTTTGTTAGATTCACATTCAGTTTGATTAAGCAATGACCAAGGATATTTAGACTGACACATCAATCTTTTAATACGTCTATAATATGCTCTTTTCAAACTAAGCTATCTGTGTAAAATGCGAAATGTGAATGTATTTAAATATATCGAATTTTAAATAATTTATTGGCATTTGTACAAGATAGCTACTCATTTTTATCTTCAAACAAAATTCAATATTTTTTTGAGTAAACATGCCCTGAAAAAAATTAAAAACTGAGAAATTGCTATCCATTTCATTTAAAGAACAAGAAAATACTAATTTGTGTTGAGAAATGTTTGAAATTTTATTCAAAGCCTGTTCTAGGTGTTAGGGATCAACGTGTTCCGAGGTGAAGTCACTTATTTGCCCAATCTGAATTTAATAATGTGTTTCGTCAGTTTTTTGACCAGTCATGATTATCACGAAAATGTATAAAAGATGGGGATTCTATGCAGTTTTCCTTATTCACCAGTTGAGGTTGTCTTGAAGCGGAGTCACGCTGGATAAACAAACGTCTATTTCGTGAAGTGTCATCATCCCGAATTCCATTACAATGTCAAGGGTGTTATTACAGCGTATGTGCATTGAATGGTATTAAATGTCTTTGTTTGTTTCAATCTATACTACATCTACAATTGCAGTGCAGCATGAAATTGGTAATAAGAGATTTTGTTCGTCGTATTTTACAGTATGTGTTTGACAATGCAAGTGTATACTAATTTTAGTAATAAAGTAAATATTTTTAGTTTTTCTACTTTTTTTATTGCTTTTTGAGCACAATTTGTTGTTTTTATAACATTATAAATGTTTTTTGAATCCAACACTGTATTTTATTATAAAACTTATAGCGGATTTGCTTAATATGTTCAAAATATAAAATTGATTTTTTGAACACGTTCTCATAAATTCGTGTGGGCAGGTCCGTGTGGATTTTTTTAAACTAAGAGGGCCTAACCATAACCAATGACCCAGAGGTCTCCTTATCATATGTAAAATTTATTCAAAATAAAAATTAAAATAAGTTTCGAGGTTTCCTTTTTTTTAAAAAAATTGTTTCCTTTTTGTATTTATGAATTAATATAACTTCGTGTGAAAAACTATTAGGGCGCCACTTTACAGTGCCTCAGCACGTGCTTATGTTAATCCGCCCCTAGGGCGATGATCTGATTGGCATGGTCACCCCGCCCGAGGCTCAGGGTTCGACGCCAGCTTTCCCGAGTCGACGTGCTAACACGCACGGCGCGGCGCGGAAACCGCTGACGCAACGGCGTCCCGCGCGGTGAAATTCTCGGCCCGAGGGGGGCGTGCCCCTTTCTCCGAACCGCACACGCGCGTGGTCCCAGGCACGCCGACACGTCACTCGGCCATGCGCTTCCCTCCTCCGCCCCGCCACTCCGCTCCGCTCCATGCCGCGCCTCTTCGCGCACCGCGCTAGTCGACTGAGCGACTCTGCTCGCGCGCTCGGCGGAACCGCCGCACCCACCACGCCCCACTCCGCTCCGCCCCTCCCCCCGCGCCGCGTCACGGCGACGCTGTCGAGGCCCGCGCTATCGAGCGCCCGCCGGAAGTGGGTGCCGTGTCCGCCGGAAGCGCCCGCGAGCGCGGTGGCTGGCTTGGACTGCGCGGTGCCCGCGGGTCACCTTGAAAGAGCAGCTGTTCCCATTCGCTGGGCATAAAGGCGCCGGCGTTGGAACTGGGCGGCTGGACACCGGGCGATCCTAGCCCTTCTCATCGTGTTGTCGTATCCAAATTACTGTGAGTACCCGCCTACTAGTTGCGTTCTTTATCATGAGGAAACCATCTGCCCATTTTTCTGTACTTTTCATTCATGATTTTGACATTTTTGTAACATGTTCGTACCTGTGACCTACTTATTGTTATTCATTTATTGTATGTAAATTTTGCTTTAAAACTTTAAACAATACTCTAGTGATTGAAGATATAGCAATTGAGCCATTGAATTATTTTTTAGAGCTTATAGTTATGCCAAAGATTTTTTTTTTTCCTGAGACACCTGTTCAAATGACAGGCGATATTGCTCGACAGTTATCATTAAAACATTCACGTTTCAGTATGCAGGAAATATTTCGTATGACTCAATAAGGGCATTTTCTTTTAAAAATATTATTCATAGAAATAAAAGGTGCAATTATTGCATTGACCTATTTCAGCATATGATTATGATTTATGCATCTACAGAAATTATTCATGTGCATTATTAGGATTTGTTGCAACACTGTTCATTCATAAGTGATATGTGTTCGTGGAGTGTGATCTGTTTATGGAATAATGTATGTTGTAGAGAAGCGTGAACATTTTTGAACGAAAGTTGTTTTAACAGAATTGTGAATATGAATTTTATGCTACTACTGCAAATAATGTTACTAATGAATCCGAACAACAGTGCAGCAAAGTGAATCGCAATTTGCATTATTTTGTGTAACATAGCATTTTAATTGTTTTCCGAAAGATGACGACACTCCATTCACAAGTTGTGAGATTTGTTGAACATGATGCGCATGATGTTGAGCATGTTGAGTATGATGTAATGCTTCTTGCATCATAGCGCCGAGTGCGAGCAGGTGTCTTCCGGGCCCTCCGAAGCCCCGCGGACCGTTGCCGAGGGGAGGGGCCGGGAGCTTTGAAGGGATTGTAATCCGTCCCTGTGGAAAAGAATTCAGCGTCTCCATGCTCCGGAGTGGGGCGGCTCTCCTATTGTGGTTAGCGGCTCCAGGTGTTAGTAACCTTGGCAGCGGGATGCAGGTAGACGCTGCAAGGGCTCTCCAGAACCAGGAGAAAGCCGTTCCAAAAACATACGGTATCTGCCCATCAGAAAAGTGGGTCGTTCGTTCTCGGTACCTATTTGATCTTTTTGCAATGGTCTATAATATTTTGGATGTAACGAGTAATAATTGGGAATATTTTCAGTGCTTCAGCGTTATTTAGACTAATAAAATGTGTTTGAATAAACTCTTCTCGTGTGAACACTTCGGACACTCTTCGATAACATCCGAACGTCTTAAAAGTATAAATTTCATTTGAATATGCAAATCGACTTGTTTAAAAAAAATTCAAAATAAAAATGTATCCAATTTCAAAATTTGACCAATTGAAGCTGGTATATGGATTGCTACAACCTTTGACAAAGAATTAAATTTTACGGTTCAAGATCATTGTGTTGGTAAAATGCAGTCGGTTTACACACATTTGAGAAGGTATTTTAAATCCATGAAAAGTCAGTACGTTTAATATATTTCTCGTTGTTCATACATACCTTTATGATCATATTCAAATATTTTATAGAGGATGCAGATATTTAATAAATTGGGGGCAGTGTAGACGTAATTTTGCAAGGATTCGCGTAAATGACGAACATTTTCTGCGCATATGTTCGGCGAGAACGTTGTGAAAGTTCGTTTTTTATTGCCAAACAAACATTCAGTAATTAGTGCAAAACACATCATCACGTCATTCATTATCATAAGACAATTCACAATGCCACCATGACCAGAAATAAAATGAAACTAGGGGTTGAAATTTAAAAATCATTCCTTTAAAGACGGGTTGAGAAACTATCTTCTATGCTGGGGATTTGATAACAAAAAGTTTCTGATGCTCAAGATCGATAATAAAATTGTATTTTATTTGTAGATTACTGTAGACGATTGTATGAAAAAAAAAGTTTCTTCAAATTCTGAATAGTCGATTGGATGGGTTTTTTAAATTATGCACATGAAATTGTGTATTTAATTTCCAACAGAAATTCAAAGACAAGTTCTTTTATTAAAAATATACGTGGTTAAGCTATCACCATACACATTTTCGGGTTCGAGGATCACCGTTTGACGTTGTAGCTGGGAACTGGGAAGGTCAATTGAAGGTGAATACTTCCCTTTCCAGATTTAAAATTACTGAGGGTTACAGTTCACAAGTGCATTGACTCTACGCAAATAGTAACTCGGGTGATGCTTCCGTGAAATTGGTTAAATTTTTCGATGGCGAAGGAGCATCGTCGTTTATAGTGCAACTGAAGTAGTTCGATGACGAGCGTTGCGTCATCGGCGAAAGAGTTGGCAAAGAATGAAGTGCATAGTTGGCAGAAGCCGTCGATTTCGAGTGTGTGGGATCAAGTTCGGCCACTGCCCTCTGTTTGACTGTCCTGTTGTACGGGTTGCCTACTGTGACGTCATCTACAGGCGTTACCACCCTCTTCTCCCGCAGATAGGGGGATAATTATTATGTTCTATTAACAACACTTCCCCTCCCCAAAAACTAAAGTTAGCAGCATGTAAGTAGTATCCAAAAATAGTTTTTCAAAAATATCCAAATTATTAGCTTACCTTCATCATGCTAAGAATGATGAATTCTCACACTGTGAGATATTTTATTTAACTACTGGAAAGAACGATTTAGTACTCGAATAAGAAACACCAAGAGAGGGAAGTAGTGTTGTTACCATTTTGTGCATGGCATCATTTATGGATTCCTTTCCGAAGTGGTACGATGAGCTACTAGCAAACAGCTTAGCAACCTCTTCTCGGTAATAGAAATGTATTATCAACTTCATTACAGAACCCATATTTTTTATGCTTCTTAAATATATTTTGAAATGTACTCAATTTTCTGATGCTTAATTTTAACTTTATGTTTAAATATCAATTTTAAAAATGTTTAATGGTGGCTGATTCAGAACCCTGCGCATACCATATACTATACGACTTACAAGTCGTGGTAAGTCTCCTTGTCACCGACTTGGAGGGCACTTTAGGGCAAAGCCAGATTCATTGAAGCATCGTACTGGGGGAGCAGAGAATCTGTCAGCTCTGAATTGTACAGTTTCAATCAGTGAATTTTCGGAAATGCTTAAATAGCTACAGTTAGCTGATTTCAAATGAATGGTGCATTTCATCATCAGAAAATGAACTATTTTCTAGGAAGTTAATGGTTCGTCCCTGAAGTGAATTTCTTTTCTCATCCCCTTACTTTGTCTAATCTGCATCTCTTATGCAAATGACACAACATATTTAGAAACAATTCTTAGAAGTACTGCCAAGTTATACTATTTAAACAACTAATAAATTTTGTTGACGATACACAAATACATTGATATTTCTTAAAGATATGTTAGTTTATAGCCCACTTGAATTGAACTTCTTTTGGTAGGAGATCTGGTAGTTGATACCACATAACAAGTAACATATCAATTGGTCCACAGCCTGTAAGTCCCGTAAGCAATTTCAACATTGACGTTGGCCGTCAAAGCACACACGTCTTTCACGCAAATCAGGTATAACGAGTTTATATAAAGATCAAAATTAATAATGTTTGTAATCTTTGAAGGGAAAACATTCTACGTGACTCCTACTGGGAGGTCCTAGTGTACGACGCAAGATTTTATACTCGTTCTCTGTAGCTAGGTCGATTCACCCGGTATCTGGAGGAAAAGGTAAGAGCCGCTGTAAGGGCCGCTGCTCTGATCGGTAGTTTTTCGTGGCTTTTCCTTACTATAACTGGCTAAGGCCTGATTAACGAGCCACGGAGCACGTACGATCATTCCTTCCTCTTCCTTGTCCACTTCTCACCCATTACTTACACACACACATACACACACACACACTTACAAGGACATAACTGCTACACACGCCAGAAGACCAGTCGGGTGCTGAGAGCCCGGCTGGAGCGGTGCAACGCTGGTGGGAGATATCTGCTTGAGGGAAAACCCCTCAATCCTGCTTTGAGTTCGTCGCCACAATCCAGAGGGGGGAAGATCACAACAACCTCCTTCCGCGTCAAAAACATGCACCGCACTTACGGAACTAGTGACTTCCGTCATAGACGCTCCCGGAATCGCTAATCGATGACCGAAGGGAAGGCGTTCGCATTAACCCATTGGGGTGTGTGTGTGTGTTGCAGGGCGGAGATGTCTCTGAAGGAGCAGCTGCTGGGGCCCGTGGCGGATGCGCCCGCGCACTCGGGCAACAAGGTGACGGTGGTGGGCGTGGGGCAGGTGGGCATGGCCTGCGCCTTCTCCATCCTCACGCAGGTGAGTGGGCGCCGGGCACCCCGGCGGTTCCCTTCCGTTTGGAAATGCACAGCCCAAGGGAGCCCAAATGAGACGGGAAAAAAATGAAAGTGGAGATTGTGTAATTGAGGATGAAAATGTGATGTTGAGGATTAAAAGAAAGAACGTCATTCAAAAATAATTCCTTATTAAAGATTTGATATCTTTTTCGTGAAATTATGTTTGAGTTATTTTGTCGGATTTGTCAAATTTGCAGTGGTTTTGCTGGGATTATTTAATTAGCTTCAAAACGGTATTCAATGGATGAAAATGCATTGGCATGCTTTATTTATTTTTTCATGAATGTGATTGTTTTTCATTTATCTTTTTAGATATATTTGTTCTTAATATTTGTTCTTTTAATATTTCTTTCTGTCTTCTCATTTGGGCTAAATGTACCATGTTGAAATTTTGCCATAAATATAAGTATTGCCATAAATTGAGTACAAAACTTCGCATATTGTTATGTCAATAAAGTTCTTAATTATCTGAAACTTGATGTAACTACTAATTGACTCGGTTATTTTGAAATGTCCGTGTCTCCAAAAGCATCGACACCCCTACGTTCTTTTTAACAACCACATTTCTGGAGAAATAGCTTTGACGATCACATGCATTGGCAAGTCGTGGAATTCCGCTTATTAACAATCATCGGATTTGAAGCAATTTTTTTATACCATATTCTCAAACAAATGGTTGATTCTAACGCGTTTACACAAAGATTGAAGATATGGCCTTTCCGAAATAACGACTGGATGAGGTGGCTCAGGGTACCAACTGATGTCAGACTGCGAGGACCTGGGGTTCCAACACCGACGATGGCAGGATTTTCCACACTAGCTAATCTGCCAGATGCCTGGGGGAGCATTCAAGCGACCGGCTGCTCCGATCAGGTGTTGAACGTGCTTTCTCCGATCAACACCAGGCAAATGCCGGAATAGTACCCTAACAAAGGGGCTACGGACCGCGCGCGATCTTTTCTTCGTCTTCCACATCCTATCCTCACCCATTACTTACACACACACACACACACACACACGTACACCATAACACTACCACACGTGCCGGAAAGCCACTCGGCAGCTTAGAGCATGTCACGATCTTCCAGAGATCTAGAGGATTTCACAATCCAGCTAGAAAAGGACACTGCCACCTTCCGTGATAAAAAATACACTACCCTTACAGGATGAGTGACCGTAGCTGTTGAAGCGCACGGGAACTCGAAATTATAAATAAATTAACCAAATTATGGACACACTTCATGTCCATCGTAAAGGAAAGACGTTAACAGACATTAGTTTTGCAAAAATAAATTCGAATATAGCGCAAATTTACGGTGGAAGAGAACCAATTGCAGGTTTCGTTCACTTTGCGAAGTCGCTTCGGGAAAGCTGACTGCGGGAAAGCTGACTCGGGAAAGCTGAAAGCTGAGCGCGGCGAACTATAGAAATGCGCGCTGGCTTCCCGGAAAGGAAAAGAGAAGGGACTCCCTGGTGCGCCTACGGCCGAGATCCTCCCGTGCGCGACTCGTGCCTGGCACAGTTACGAAACCGAACGGTAAACGAAGACATGCTTTGACTACTAGTAGGCCATGAATTCTTGGAGTTATGCGAGTGATAACGAGTACATAGTTGCAGAAATCAGGTTCAATCTGGAGCATAGTTTGTGTGTAAAGATACGATATATACAATCCTTTAAGTGAGAAATAGATTCTGTTCCAGTGGGGAACCTATATTTGCATACAATATGTGCAATGTTGCTGTTGCAAAATCTGGATATTAATGAATAAATAAACTTTAATTGGATTGTTGGTGAAGTAGATACCTTTTTATTATGATAAATAAATAAAGATATTGTCAGGTATCAATATTTTAATTCAGCTTATGATCATTTCGATCGCGTAGCGAAGCTGAGCTTATGATCATTTCGATCGCGTAGCGAAGCTGCAAGCTCTGAGGATGATCGCTACGCGATCGAAATGATCATAAGCTGAATTAAAATATTGATACCTGACAATATCTTTATTTATTTATCAGAATAAATAAACGTTTGAAAATTTAATTTCTTATATTACTCGTATTTTTAACAACTGCAAATAGTATGTAAACCATTGTAAGTTTTTTGTTGTAAGCCTTTTTTCTCTTAGCCATCCTAATATCTTCGTTATTTAATTACGGGTTATTAAACTAAGTTGCTTCCTCTAGTTATATTTTATTGTGATTATGGGGTTACGCGCTTGGAGATAATGAGATGTTAGCTAGTAGAAACGCCGAAAAATCGCTAAAAGGAGGTCGCTTTCATCTTCTCACAGATTCTTTGACGATTTCACTCGAGTCAGCTTGTACAAAATGCACATTTAGAATTTACAAGAATGGGGGAAAAAACTGCCGTATTGCTACAGAAAGGAAAAAAAACTTTCCTAATGTATCAGTTCCATTGCGTCTCATATTGCACTGTCATTTTTAAATATCTTGCCTTATCTGTATGTGACATAACTGGTAAATAACAAAACCAAGCGGTAGTTGTATTTCATTTCTTTAAACAAGCCTTATAACAAACATGATTTCTAATAGTAGTTGAGAGGCAAACGAAGATCCATTCTTTTTCCACTATACGTATATAATTAAAAAAATAATCTTGATCTTCCACTGTACTACTCCCTCACTGGATTACCTATTTATGCACTCTAATAGATTGGTGGTTTCCAAAAACTTAAAATTAGGTCGGGATGCTGCTAGTAGGCCGTAGCTTCTAAAGAGCATTTGAGTCTAAGTACATACATACAATATCTGAATTTTTAGCGCTGATCAGTGAAACTGGACGTAAAAAGTTCAAACGTTTTTAATTTATTCTTTTCAGCTTCCCCATTGAACCCGCTCGTGAGTTCTTCCTTTGTTACCTATTATTCTAAGTTAAATGTTTGTTCAGACCTATATTGTTTTCTAGTAATTTTCTTCAGGTAGGTCCCTCTTCTTTGCCATTTCAAGTAGTCGTTCTGATCATCCTTACATGTATTCAAAACTACGTTATTTGTCTTCCATAAATACTATATTTATTCTAGTTTTTTTATATGAATTTTTTCTTAGTGCATTTTTCATAGAAATCTCTATGAGCGTTTGCAGAAATCTAATTCAGTTACTATCAATTTTAGTTACATGTGTGATTGAATATGTAAACTTGGTTACAATAATTATTGAATTGATTGCATTACGACTATTCCATTCATGAAATTGACGCAAATAACGTTTTACAAAACATCTGGTACGTCCAATCAGGGCCGTATATCTAAAAAAATAATAACTTCAGTTATCCGATTTTCTCGCTTATTCTCTCTAATATAATCTCTCATTCGCATACATCATAGCATTGAAAGCGAGTGGCATTAATATACTTCATATATTTCGCTTCATGAAACTATATTGAACATAATTTTATTAATGGAATAGTCTTGTTCAATACCACTTTCATTGGACCTTTCTCTCGGGAATCCATATGAAATGTCCATTGCACGCGGGGCATTGGCTGTGACGATTGTGCGAGTGCCTTTTGAAAACGCTGAGCGCGCGTGCGCAGAACGTGGCGAGCGAGGTGGCGCTGGTGGATGTGGTCGCGGACAAGCTGAAGGGGGAGATGCTGGACCTGCAGCACGGCTCCGTCTTCATGCGCAACGCGCGCGTTCTCGCCAGCACAGGTGAGTCGCATTGCACAGAACTGCCTCGGGGGAATACCAGGATTCGAAAGGTTACAGTGCCCAAGGATGTAATTCCTTAACGGGGTTCGCCCTAGTCCCACAATTTTAGATAATGTAATGTACGTATGTAATACTAACTTACTATATAAAAAAACCTTATCCCAGAACTTATTTTCTTAACTTTGTCCTCTTCGCATACATTTAGTCTAGGAAAAAACGAGTGTACGCTTTCTTAATCAGAAATTTAGACTATCTATGAAAACTATAATATGAGTTTAATGTACAACCTTTAATTTAATATTACCACTTGTGTATTAATGGAAAAACTATGGAAATCTGTCGAACACGGACGCGTGAGCGTGCGTGAACACACACACACACACACACACTCACTCATTCACTCAAATAAAAGTGAAATAAATTGTTCAGTGTGAATATTACTGTAGTGCAGTGCACTCACGATGTAGATTCTATGATAAGACACTTGAACAGCATGTATGCTAAGCAGATATTAATAAATTTAAGAAAAGGTGAGCCATTCGTGCTTCTCGGAAGAGGAAATCGCAGAAGGAAGTTTTGATCTGCCCAAAATGCTTTATACACCAAACAAAAATGTTTATATTTAGAAGTAAGAATTATGGTCAGATTGCTTTATGGTATTAACGGGAATGATTCTACTACTTTAAAAACCTTTTTATTGAGAATAGAAAACGATGAGAGAAGAAAAATATTCGAGAATTCATTGTGGTTTCTAAACAATTAAGGCAATGTAAGCAGAAGGGTTATTAAACACGTCTTTTGAATATTTTAAGATAAGTTAGAGCGAAGCTTGTCAAACACACAAGTTTCAATCTAAATTGTTAAAACCAGATCTGAAAGATCGAGAGACCAACACGGTAATGTGACTCGGAAAATAATTTCTGACTTTTATCACCCTGTACAATGATATCGTTTGGCAGTTGTGTCATAAGTGCTTGTTACTTTGGAATCTAGGTAGGTACTTGAACGCCGTGTAGTGACTTGTGTGGGTTCGGTACCAGCTGTTGCGTATGCGTGATGTTCCTAGTGTGCTTTCTGCTAAAGTGCCACGCGCGGAAACAGATAAGGTGATGTTTGCTCGTGAAGGGATGTACAAACCAGAATCTCATTCCCCTCATACACTTCCATAAGTTTCGAATCGCTACTCTTCCTTAGCCCATGGATGCTTGAATTGAGGTTTTTATGCTATGGTTGTACTTTTAGTGAACTGCTTCGTGCAGCCACTATATTTAGTAGAAGAAATAACGATAACTCCATAGGCATTTCCTCAATACGTAATTTTACAGCAGGTCCGTAATGGTTCCTCCATGTTTACAGACGATATGAAGCAAGTATTGTAGATAAGATTAGGAGTCGTTCACAGTAGTAGAGCAATATGCATCGAGATGGATTTCAATTCTTTATTTAGACAAGATAAAGACTTTTCTAGGGCCTTATCGTACACGAATATCTATTGACCATGAACCAATCGTTTACCGGATATTGCGCGAGTCAGAATGTTGCGTTCATGAATTTTATTGAACAAATTTCAAACACATCCTTTAATTATGCAAGCGTCATTTGAATGTAGAAACAGTGGTGCTAAATTAAAACATTATTTATCATATAATTAACAAGAATTACGGAATGTAATGTATCAACTTGTATTCTAGTTCTAATTTTTCCAATTCATTGCAATTTTTGATATATCAGACATTTTACCACATTTATTAGTGCACTTGTTCTATCGGAGCAAAAAAATGTGTAGTACAAAGAAGTGGAGCTAAAACAGAACATACTTGTTTGTATTTCTTGAAACGACAACGTACGTAGTATTATAATACTTGCAGAATTTTCGCACATTTGAACTCTATTGCATATCGCCAAGATATGCCAAAAACACAATTTTTTAGAGAAGGGCAATTAGAACTTTGAAGTCTATGAAAAATGACACATTTTAAAATTTTCAATATTTTTTGTTTCTATGTGATATTAGTAGTTAGTAATAGGCACTGAAATACAATTATTAAAATACTTTTAAAATTTGTAAGTTTTCGTGCTCTTTAAAGTTTCAATTGTCTTTTCACCAAAATGAGTATTCGTGGTTTGGCATACGAGGGAGGGGGCGATATTCAATTGATCACTTTCATATTCGCCTGACAACGCACTTCGTTGGCCCCAGACTACGCGGTGAGCGCCAACTCGCGGCTGTGCATCGTGACGGCGGGCGCGCGCCAGAAGGACGGTGAGTCGCGGCTGGATCTGGTGCAGCGCAACACCGACATCTTCAAGGGCATCATCCCGCAGCTGGTGAAGCACAGCCCCGATTGCATCCTGCTCATCGTCTCCAACCCAGGTACCGCTTTCCACCTTTCCACCCATCGAAAATATCATGTAGCTTCCCAGTAAATATATCCGATAGCATTTTGGTTTTGTTTTTCACATTAGTCTGTTTTATTCTAAGGTCAACGCGCAAAACTATTCAGTGTAATAAGTAGGCAAATGGTACGTTTTCTAGACGTATTAAACTAATTTAATGTATTATATTGACGATTTTTTATATCTATTCGGGTTGCTTCACGTATTGATTTTTTCACTGCAAAAATGAAAGGTAAAGTATCAAGATCAGTGATACAACAAAGAAACGTGCGCTTTTTAAATAGAACTTTCATTCTCAGAACCTTTGGTTCAGTGGTAATTTAGATATTCAAGGTTTGTTTATTTCTGTGAAATCTTGGAATTTTGGCTTTGAATTGTACAAGTCCAAAGGCAAAACGCAGAATTAAATAGTTTTAAATACTGTTTTGAATGTCAACAAAGGTTTCTCCGAAATACCCCACTTAGGAATTAACCTTTATCTAAATGTATGCATTTGGTGTTAATTTTGAACCTAATCTGCAGTGGACGTGATGACGTACGTGGCGTGGAAGCTGAGCGGCTTCCCCAAGCACCGCGTCATCGGCTCTGGCACCAACCTGGACTCTTCGCGCTTCCGGGTGCTCATGTCGCAGCGCCTTAACGTGGCGCCGTCCAGCGTGCACGGCTGGATCATCGGCGAGCACGGCGACAGCAGCGGTGAGCATCCGCGGTCGAAACCGCCCACATCATCACTATCACGACCGCTTCCGCTTCCCATCCTATCAACACCACACCGCCTCACCCACTTCGCAGCACCCACTCCGCCCTTCTCGTCCCACCCACTTTTCACTCTACCGCATCATCCGTGCCATACAACGATATTAACCGTCTCAATCACCCGCGAGGTTGATTGTTCGCCCAACCCCCTATCACACGGGTAACCGCTGACTCCCCGCGTGAGCGGAAAGCGAGAGTTAGTTGGCGGCTCAAACTTATAAGCAAGTATGATGGAAATTGACAAAAGGAACCGAAAGAAAAAAAAACTTCCAGTTATGATAAAAATGATGAAAAGTTGCGATCCCAAATACTTTCTCTGAATAGATTTTAATTTTGATTTTATTTCGTTGTGATAATAATTCCGTTTCCAAGAAAAAATGTAAGGAAGCGGACTGGAACTTGCAAACCGGGACAAAAAGAGCAATTTAAAATTGTGTAAGGGTAAAACATACCACTTACATGTATTAGTATGGTTTCGACAATTAATTTAATTTTGGCTACTGACGCTATTCAATATTTTTCGTACATTTAATGACTGCAGATAAACTTAGAGAACGACGCCATGTGTAGTCTGTTTCAAACTAATCAAAACGTTCTGAGCGCTAAGGCAAGCGAGGGCGTCCTGCCCGTCGCTTGACTGTATTACAAGTTTGGGATGTATGGGATGACCACTTAATACTCTCCTCACTCTGACGTTATCTGCAATAGTGGCTCATTGGCATGCTTTGGGTGTCGCGCAGTGCCCGTGTGGTCCGGCGTGAACGTGGCTGGCGTGCGTCTCCGGGAGCTGAATCCATCGCTGGGCGCTGCAGAGGACAAAGAGAACTGGGCGGAGGTGCACAAGCAGGTGGTACAGAGGTGAGTCTACAAACTAGGCTACACTCAAAATGATCTCTTAGACATGAAATGAAATTGTGTAAGTTACATTTCACAAACCCTCTAGAAATATATTTTGATAGAGTTTCTACAACGTCTCGTGTCTCGAACAAGCTTTTTTATTTAAGGTTTTAACTAATGGTTTTACACTCGTATATTGTGACTGATATGTATTGAAACATATCACTTGAAAAGCGGTTGCTCATAACATCCGAAACTTCGTGGTAAAATTAACTCGCATGGGAAAACAAATTACCATCAAACATTAGTTAGTACTCGTATATAACCTCACAAGACCTTGAAGGTATTGAATCAAAGAAATTAAATTGCAAATTTGACAGGAAAGGTAAATAAGGTATTGCATTACATACATCGTGTCATAAAATAAACGTACTGTATTGCAGAATTGTATAATATAATTTAAGAAAAAACAATCTTTTATTAAAGGATAGTTAGACTTAAGTTGAGCAGTAAAATTTAAAATTATCGTTGAAATATTCACGTAGCAAATTAACATTTTTTACTAATTATTACTCAAAAACTGAACAGTTTAATGCAGTTTACGTCTTGGCCAAATGCTAACCGTAGCCATGGAAGGTTTCTCTTAAACTAGCGTTAGCCTCTTCAGCACAATATCTCGTAAGTTCTCCTGTAGATCTATTTCGTTGCGACAGGGCGTGACTCGCCAGAAATGTGTTGTGGGCGCTTGCCGAGCGGAGTGAGTGCAGAATTGTGTGTGTGTGTGCGCAGCGCGTACGAGGTGATCAGGCTGAAGGGCTACACGTCATGGGCCATCGGGCTGAGCGTGGCCACGCTGACGGAGGCCATTCTGCGCAACGGCGGCCAGGTGCACGCTGTCTCCACCGTCGTCCAGGTAAGCGCGCCCGACGACTCTTCTCAAACACCAACTTCCAATTCATTTATCCAACATTTTATAAAACATTTACTAATTAAAAAGTACTCGTATTATATAGAACCCATTCTTACGCACCGGCTGAGGTAGCTTAGGGCATCAACTGATGTCATTGCCGTGTCTCTGACTGAAACGTCCTGTATTAGAGTTCCCATAGTGGCAGGATTTTCAACATTAGCTTGATAGGTCGAGTTTATCCGCTGTTTGGGGAAGAATTCTAGCGGCCGGCTGCTCTGGTTAGTAGTTTTCCATGGTTTGTACTAACAATACCACAGGAATGCTGGATCGGTACCGAAACAAAAAGGCTTCGGACCGCGCGGATTTTTCCTTCCTCTTCCTTGGCCTTACTTACACACTCCTATTTACGCACACTTGCATGCTGTACACTACCACACATGTCGGGAGCTTAGAGGTTGTCCAGGTTCATGGTGCCCTTCTGGTGAAAGAAACCTGGATGATGGGAAAAACCAGCAGACCGACGTGTAGTTGGGCGCCGGATCTTACCAGGCAATGATGAAATGACACTGGCTCTTCAATGATAAAAATGTGCACCACACTTACGGGACTACTAGCCATTGCTGTTTACGCGCTTGGTAACATGAAATATTTAATCAGTCACTATTCCACACGAGTATGTACGAGTATTTATTGTCCATATTTACTGCTAAGTTTTCAGCATGTACCTACAGTACATATATTCATTCATGTAGCCACCTGTAGTAATTGCGTACCTTAATGAGATAAATATTCCATATACTTACTTCGTTTTCGTTAAATGAATGTTCATGTAGAGGTAATTTTTGTTTATGCTTCAAACTACACGTACTAGAAATAAGACGCTTCTTCGTATAATATTGTGAATAAGGACAACTTAGGCAATGTTGCGTTGCGCAACAAGGAACAGGATATTTGATAGTGCCTCTTTCCTTGAAAGAACCACAGCCGTTTTTAGTGTCCGACCGGCTTTGTCATATAAGCCTTTACATAACATTATTGTTTTCCTAGGACTACAGAAATTCTTTGAGGAAAACCAACAATTGGTATGGATGTAAGAAACAAGTTACTACCAAAAATTTGATTATTAGCTATGTCAATTGTTAAATTTCAACAACAATGTGAGCGGTGTATATTAAGATAAATTTGAGATTTGGGAAGACTAGTACGTTTCTTCATACAAAATATTAGAAACAGACCTTGGTTGAGTGAGAATTTGTTTGAATTCAAACCGGTCGGAAGCTTTTCTTCCAATATGAATACCTTCCTTACCAGATATGCAAGTTAAGCACGTTTGTGACATTTCTCTTCCGTCCCAATTTTACGTAAAATTTTGTAAGTAATATTTGAAGTAACATATAAAATGTTCTTTACAAAAACATGCGTAGGTACGAGCTTGATGGAAATAATTGACCGATATGTGGGTTTCCCTCGATTTGAATATATTACATTTTGCATCAACTGGGCTCATTTATAATTACTGCTTCTATTTCACGTGGCTATTTTTGCCTATTAATTGAGATTTGATGCAAACTGAACTTGTTATAACTATTCCTAGATTCCTGTTCATTTTGAACTTCTATACATTCCAACTCGATTGCAAGGATATCACCTATCGACAAGGTGGTGTTTCTAAGTTTCTCTGCATTCTCCACACGGATTGGGAACTTGTAAAGGCTTGTTATAAGTCAATTTGTTTTAAGGTCTCTCCTCCAATACTCCTGCCATCCTATTCGCGGAGGCAAATTTTCTACCGTTTTAACCGTCAGTAAGTTACGTTAGAAACACGCCATAGAATAAACAAATGTGTAAAGTTCAGTGTGAACATCTCGCGTTACGGTTTGTGTTAAGTTTCAGGCATTATTCGTAAGCCCGAGGGTACTCTAGATTCTGATTCTCACAATTAAAGATACTGGAAACCTAAATACCCAGTAAGTACATCACAGCTAGTACGCAAAAGTGTAAAAGAAAAAATACTTTTTTAATATTATTTAAAACTGCCGACCTGGATGTCAGTGGGGGCTGAGAGTACACTCTCGTTCCCAAGGGTTGCGGGTTTGAGTCCCGCCTTGGGAATGGTCACTTTTCTCTCATATACGTGTTGTGGCAGTCAACCTCGCGTTCTGCTATCCCAAGATCAGAGGAGTTCGCAAGTGTGTAGGTGTCTAGTGTAAGGCCGAAAGTGCGTCCCATCAGGACGTAAATGCTAACCGCCTGTCTGCTGGATGAAAGACCTAGAGAGGAAAATTAATACCAAAAGCTAGTTTATTTTATTTGGATTTTGAATTGAATATCTAAAAGGAAGGTATTTTGTTCTAAAGAAAAATGTTAATTCGCTCCGACTGTGGCTTGCAGGGCTACCACGGCATCGAGAAGGAGGTGTTCCTGTCGCTGCCCTGCGTGCTGAGCGAGAGCGGCGTGTCCAACATCGTCAAGCAGCCGCTCACCGACGAGGAGACGGCGCAACTGAAGCGCTCGGCCGACATCATGCACGAGGTGCAGACGCGCCTCAAGATGTAAATGACTGTTCGAGCGCGTTGCAAGACGCGTCATTTTTTTCTGTGTCTTATAGTATTCAGAATGCCTGCAGTGTTTGTGTGTAGTTGCTGAAAGTAGAAGGAAATACGACCTCTTGGGGTAATCTCTTGATGGGAAACTAACATACAAGCACACGAGTTGGAAATAGACATGATAACCTAAAACGAATGATTGAAATAAAAACTAATTTATAGGAATGAGAACTTTTAAACATTTTAGTTATCTTTTTTTTTTCATGATGAAGGATAATGTCTCGAATTACTAATCGTATCTATCCAAATTATTCTAAAGATAAGGTTTCTATGAAAAACGTGTGGTATGTCGTTGTGAATTAAAGAAAGTTGTTATAAAAATGATATTCTCTAATTATTTTCTAATTTGAACAAATGTAAATCTCATAACAAGCGCAGACGTTAGTTCAAATGGTGTAAACAAAACCAGTAATACGCTATTTAAAATTAAATTGTTTTTGTGATGAATCTAAATATTATAAGTTTGTAATAGTTAAACTCTTATATAAGACACACGCATACCAACATTTTCCATAAAATGCATATTAAGAAATGTAAACTGAAATACAAGTTGCCCACTTAAGTTCGTGAATTGTTTGAATTTAGTTCCGTTTCGTTTAAGAGTCTTTCTGCTTTTCACATAATCACTTTTCTGCTGCGCAACGTGTAAAAACAAACCCAATCAACAGAATTTCATTTTATTGATGTCATTTTGTAATTTCAGGTATATTTGAGTTGTAATGACAGAGGATTATTAACTGTAATCAATAATTTCTCAAATTGTGTCAATATTTCTTTAAATGCATTTGAAAAAATCAATTTCTTTGTGAAAGTACTGTGTACAGTATTGGATGTTTCATGTTAGAATTTATTTATTTATTTAAAATATTGTTTTAGACTGATAGTTACTAAATGATATTGTTAACTGAACTTTGCTGGTAATGTGCCAAAAGTATTGTAATGCTTTATTGCAGATACTTCATATATAATAGCTTTTACATACTTATTATTCTATGTTAATATTACAAATATTTTTAAGAGACCATGTGTAGAAAATTAGTATTTTACACGTAAATTATTACTGCTGAAAGTATGCATCTCTAGAAACATATTAATTTAACACCATTTTGTGAATGATTGTTATAAAGTGTTTGCTCTTATTATTAATAAACAGGACAGTATTTGATGTAATAACTTATTATTAGGCCAGTTGTTGAACAGTATCTCTTCATTAACATTTACATTTTTTGTACAGCATCTGCCATACATTAGGCTTACAAATGATGTATTTTAAAGTATGCAACATTGTTTCCAGGTAATTGGTAATGCCACAGAATAAAACTTGCAATTATTGCCGGTACCAATTTGTTTATCATTATATTGTTTAATTAACATTTTCTCATTGTGCTCCAACAATTCACACTTTATCAAAAAATAATTACATTGCTCATCTTTAAGATTATTGTAATGTTTTTCCCTATTTACATTTTAAGTACTATAATTATCATGCTGCAAAATATATTTTTTTTATTTCCTACTGTCAGTTATTGATGTTTATAATTTTCTTATGTACATCCATTTCAAGGTTCCAATAACTGCGAAAATGCTTTACAAATAAGTGTAAAACTATGACACAAAAAATATTTTTTGAACAGCCACGAGTAAAAACGATTCTTTCAGGGCATGCAGAGCATGGTAAAAGTTCAACTTTTAGAACTAGTGCTAAAGTATTGTAATGCTTTTTTGCTGATACTTGATATATAATAGTTTTCACAGAGTTATTTGCATATATATACTATATATGCTATTGTACTGCACATGCTTGAGGATTCTGATAAATATGTGAATGCAACAAAGAAAATAAATTACTTACATCTGCCGGCATCGTCTAGAACTACTGATACTAATGTATCATTACGGGATTTGTGCACTTGAATTAAAGTAAAATGAAATTCGGTAATACTAACTAAAAATAGTGTAATAAGACATGTCGTAAGTGATTTTATTTTGCTCGGCCCATCGGTCTCTAAGTTTCCTACTCGTAATATATAATGTTACTTAAACCGCTTTAATAACTATTATTTAAGGCATATTTTTTACTATATGTAAAAATCGTAGAAAAAACTTAATTACGCAAGCACCAAATATTTTTTCCATGGCTTTAATCTCACCATAGCCATCGGTAGCCGCTGGCAAGATCGCCTTCGTCGCTCAACTAGATGCTACGGACTCGATACCTGTGACTAGGATTGCCAGTCGTCCTCCATTTAGGAGGGCAGCCTTTTATTGATGTTAATTGTTCTCTCGTCCTCCTTTGTATTTTAAACGACCTGCTTTTAGTAATTTTATAACATTTGTTGCCATTTATGTTATCGCATGACTAACATCTTTTAGGTTGTACTTTTGATTAATTTAAAATAGAAAACATGAATATCCTTTTTCTGAATTCTGAGGCACGTTGCATGATGGTGTTTTTGTCCAGCGACTATAATAAAAAAGAGATCCTCAAACCATGTTCAACTGAATTTTGTGAACTATTATTTTCACTCGAATCGCAAATGTGGAGAAGAACGAAACAAAAATTGATGTTAGTTTAAATTAAATATTTATAAAAAGAAATGATGCGTTTTTTGTTGCTTATCCAGTGTTCTTCCTTTTTTTGTGAACATTGCTGGCAACCCTATCTGTGACCATGTTTTAGAGTTCTTCGGACAGAGTCTGAGTGACACCGTCTCGAAGTCAGTGATGCTAACCACCGTTTATCGTAAGGGATCATATAGTTTACTTATACAGTCAAGCACTGAACATTTTAGCGTACTTCAGCCCCGAAAAAGTCCATGAAATGATGGCAACGTTATCACGGGCTTCGACGCGGGGTCACCTGTCAACAATTCACGCGGTAACGGTTATGTTTGTTTTACCGTGATTGTTGCCGACCTGTAGTAACGCAACTGTAGATTGGTTTAGCACTAACGTCAATCCAAAGGGCGCGCCTACTAGTAAGATGCAAGGGGTTGTATACCCACGTGATATGTCTTGGGTGGCGGGGAATGTGGCACTTGGTTTGAAATGACGTTAAGGTCCTGAAACCAAGTTACTAGCGGTACTACAGGTCGGATTTGGAACTAAGGTGATATTTTTCTGCTTTTTCGCAGCCGATTTTGAACAAATTTACACGTTTAATAGTTCAACTGCTGACCTTTAGATTAGCTACAGTCGATTTCCTAGGGGTACTACAGGTCAACATTGCTACTAATGTGCCATTATAAATTATTACTCCAACGCAACGCGATTGCCCACCCTGCTTCTTTTCGCAAATGGTACATATTGTCTTTATAAAGAATTACAAGATGGATATCCATCAGTATTTCTTTTTCTGAAAGGTAGCACAGCCCTTAGCTGTTTAAGAGGTTCCTTTTGGCCTATCAGATGTTAACATTTTTCTTTCAAGTACTAAGTGAATGGTAACAGGAAAGTGGCAATTATGTACGTTCACAAGGAATAAAAATGTCAAATTTTCAGTTAATTTCAAGCACGGCATATTATCACCACTAGATGTACTTGTGTAAAATATATATTTTTTTTAAACGGCCTAAGAATTTTCAACTAAAACTTCTGAGACAACGCTAGTTTGTTAATATGCCCAAAATCAGGTACAATATCAATAATAAGGTGTCCTTTAATAAATCTCTCTCATTATTTCCAAAAATTCTGTTGCAAAATCTTCTACACTTACATTCAATTTTCCCCGGATTTCTTTACTTCCATACTTTTGTCCTCTAATGTTTTAAGACATTAAAATTCCACAGAACCAGTCTAATTTGTACTTGTATTTTTAAACGGTTGCAGCACAGTATATAAATGTGGTAATAATTGCCTATATTAAATTATTTGAATATTGTAGTAAGGTTTATCGAGTAAAATACACACTCATTATTTTCTTCCTAAAGGAGAGTCTTGTCGTTGCAGCTTCGACATTCTATTCTCCGCTCTTTTTCATTTCTGTCTTACTCTTGGCACACTTAATATGGATTTATTTTAATTAATGAAATTAATTAGTCATATTGACAAGATAAAATTCAAAGGTCATTGTACAACAGTCATCAAGATTTTGCAGAATCATCAGAAGAAATTTGTCTGCCTAGTATTGTGATGACTCTGGTACGTAACATCTGAATCAGAAGTTCATTTTTATGTAGAGTGGTTCCTGAAATGATGCAGGCAATTGTGTAATACTCGTATATTTTTAGTAATTACACGGAAAATGAGATGAAAACGGATATCTATGACTATAAATTCCATACACAAGATGTCGTATGTACTAGGCAGAAAACAGAAATTTAGTTCTCTGCGCGCGCAGAGCCCGGGGCGCCGTCCGCGCGCAGCCGACGACTAGAGCCTCGCGTCGCTGCACTGGGCGGCGTCCGCGGCTGCGCTGCGCAGACCTATTGCTGCGCGCAGGTGCCTACGTGGACGTGACGACGCCGGTGGGGCGCCACGGCAGCGCAGACTGAACACTGCGGCTGCTGCACTTATTAAATTTGAAGAACTTCAAGTGAATACGGAAGAAACCAGACTCGGATAAGTTGCTAGAGAATGAAAGCTCATTTACGTTCTTACGATCAAATTCTCACATTTACGTTCGTAAGCGTACAAATTCCGATTTTCAGGTGAATGTGACTAACAAGTTATTGGTTAATCTTGGGTTTGCGATGTCCCTCAGTCATGACCGCTTTCGCTAATTTTTATTTAACTAAACTAAACACCATATTGACAAACATAAAACACAATTGCCTTTTAATGTTTATTTAAATTTGTCTAAGAAACTATTAATAGAATCAGAAGTAAAAGTGAACACAAATTAGACTGGTTCTGTGGAATTTTAATGTTTTAAAAAATTAGGGGACAAAAGTATGGAATTAAACAAATCCGGGGAAAAATTGAATGTAAGTGTAGAAGATTTTGCAACAGAATTTTTGGAAATAATGAGAGAGGTTTATTAGAAAATAAATCTGAAGAAGACCTTATTGTTGATATTGTACGTGATTTTTGGGCATATTAACAAACTAGCGTTGCCTCAGAAGTTTTAGTTGAAAATTCTTAAGCCGTTTAAAAAAAAAAAAAAATTAAGCGTTAATTCAAATGTGAAATTTAAAGCTATTTTTCACAGAAACTTTTGAATTTTTGAAAAGCTTAATTGCAAGTCATTTGAACCACTTCCACTAACAAATGCAATAATATACTCCAATCCATGGAATTGCGCATATTTGCTACGCGAGAGATATTAAAAATATACATTTCCGTAATTTTTGAAAAAACAAAAGAATACTGCAATACTCATCTTATACAATCCATTTAGCACAATCCGTACAAAAAGTTTAAAAAAAATTGAGAGCCGTTTGAGCGTTTCTGAAAATACGGAATTGTCAGTGGAATTTGACTTTCGAGAAACCGTATCAGGTATAATTTAAAGCACATGAACTCATAAATATAATAATGCAAGCAAGTCTCCACTGATGTACATATTAACGATACGAGAGGGATGTCAAAAAATTACAATTGTAGAATTTTTGTTTTAAATTTTTTTATATTGCGCATATTTCACACAATATTGAGCGAAAATTATTAAAATTTTAAGAAATGTACCTTAATAAAAAACTAAATATATAGAACAAATTTTATTTAAGAAAAAGTCTCTATTTTCAATTGTGTAGTTGTAGGAAGGTGCGCCTAAAAAATCAGAGTTAACAGTGAAAATTGGAACTAAATCACATTTGTAAGTGTATTTTGCTCTATTCTTAAAAGCAATTTGTAGAAAAAAATTGGAACCATTTTTGAGAAAAGTTTGAAAATTGAATGATGAACATTTTGAAAAATTAACTTTTGAGTTTTCGAAAAACTTCATTGGAAGTCATTTGAAGCACTCACACTCACAAATTCAGTAATGTATATTGTTGAATATGGGCGGGCATCGTAGATGACTTTGCGACCGGCCGCATGCTCATAACCCGCGCGACGAGAAAAAATAAAAGCTGATGCGACAAGTCACGGAGAGATGGCGCCCCGATAAGTTGCGAGTTATCAGCAAAGGCGCTAGTGTCGAGGGGGAGGTGACGAGACGGAGGGTGAAAATTAGACAGAAACCGAGAGGCTAGGGGTACGCTTCGTGATGTCGGAACGAGTGCCGAGTGGTGATACGCAGAGCGATCGTTACGGGACAAGCAATGAACAGAAGTTAAAGAGAGGTAGGTGTGAACTGCTGGGCTAGCCAAACGCCCATACGGTGCGTAATGATAACGTAGAAAAAGCTATTCCGAAAGATCGCATAGTGAGCGTAGAAGTTAGTTGGTTGAAAAGGTCTGGGCGGAAAGTGCACGTGTGCATGGAGGACGGTCAGTGGTACAGGAATCGTTGGCCACCAGAGCGGCGGCGGCGCCGGCATCGAACTCCATTTTAAGCTCCAGTGCCGAGGTCGGAGGGGCTTGCAGGATCGTAAGTGTATTCCATGTTTATGGGTCTTACGGACACACGTGGTTGATGTACCTCTTTTAGATAATTGTAATCTGGTATTTCTAATGGTGCTTTTTTGTCAGAAATCGCATTCGTCTAGCAAACAAATATTTGTCCCGATACATTGCGAAAAGTTGTTCCCAGACGCGTCTTGTTGATTCTTCTGCTCGTCAAATGGTGATACCGGTATGAACCAGCTGCATGACAGTGATAAAGGAAGTATGTCAGTTGCAGTTGTTCTGATCGGCAA